TGGGAGAGAGCTGTGTCTACTGAAGAAAAAGCCAGAGAAATAGAGTAAATACAGATATCCTCAAACTCATTTTTAGGTTTAAATCAGCTGTGATGTGCCCAAGAATTGTGAACATAAACATGTGCACCTCTCAGTGAGAGCACATAATTAACTCTCAGCATATACTTATTCTCTAAATACTGTGTATGTGGTATTATACAGTGAAAGATCTCACTTTCATACATTATAAGTCTCCTTTGATCAAAACAATTATCTAGAATATAAAGGGGAGATAAGTCAAACTTCTATTTGTGAATTTCAAACTTTTAATTACATGAAAAGTCTTCATAGAATCTGTGGGTATCCCTTGACTTATCTGAGTGCTTAAAAAATAGGCATTACAGAAGCATACAGAGTCATGATAACCATGACACCTGCTACCCCAAGATGCTTTCAGAGAAACATCCCTGCTCACAGCCCAGCTGAAGAGCGAGGACAGTGGCAAAACCTATGGCGTCACCTTCCAGACTGAACTTGGACCCTGATCCAAGGATAATAGTACCTAGTCCCAGCATTCATCCTAGTACATTGCCTAATAATAGTGACAAATGCATAATCAGATTCACTCTAGAAAAACTTGAATTCAAAGAAATATAGCAAATTCAGATGCTAACATGAATTAAAGCACAGCACGTAGCGAGAGAGAAGTCATGATGAAATTCAAGGCCCAGAGTGAGTTGTATTTATAATAGAGCAGAAATTATGTATAAGCAAAAGCACTAATGAAAAAATATGACAGAAAAAAGATACACATAGAAGGCCAAGAAGAAATGTCTACAGTAAGGGGAGGGAAGCAGATGTGTAGAGAGTGGTTGACTCACAATATTGAATGAGCATGAGAGAAAGTTCCAAAAATTATGGCTATTGAGCTTTAAAAAGTTGCCTATGACTCAGTCAGTCTCAGCTTCTATTTTTAGATTTCTATGACAGGGTTTCTTCTTTATCGTTCTATATATATCCTGTTACATTAGGTAACCAAAATGTGAATCAGCTCCTTTCAACAAAAAGAGCATAAATGAAAGGGTGAGTTATAACTTGAATGTTTTAAATACCTTTTAAAGTTTCTCCCAACAAAGATTTTATATTGATGCAAATATATTTTTTAACCTCCAATGAGTAGCATTAACATGCTATAATGTGGTAGGCCATGAACACGTATCAAATTGCCTGTGGAGGTTTATGATAAACATGCTTGGGTTCCATCCCCAGAGCCTATATCCATCATGTCTAGGTTCAGGCTGGAAATCTACAATTTAAAAATATTTCCCACATGACTTTTATATGCAATTATGCTCAGAAAAATAAAAAAAGAAATTTCTATTTAGAAGGTAAGATTCAGGTCTAGATAAGTCACTCATTCTTTGTCTCTCCAAGTTTAGATTTTTTCATCTTTAATATAGATAATATTATCCTCTACCAGGGTTTTGAAGATCAGTGAGATAATATACACAAAAAGTAAAGTAATTCTGGAATAGAAAATTAATTATCTGATTATTGAAGTTCCTTAAGACAATGATGTCTTTTACACAGACTCGATGAAATCCCAGACTGCCTGTCATGCCACAACCCCATTCCAGGGAACCCCCAGCACATGGCATCCTTATGAAAGGTTCCGAGGCCAACAGCACCAAGGGTTCCCACGCCAAAATCTTTCAAGGCATTAGGACTAATTTGGTTACTCATGTACAAATAGTAATAATAGTAAAAGATTCTCCTTTTTCTCTCTTTTTTTTAATCCACACCTGAGGACATTTTTCCATTTTTTGTTCAGATAGAGTGGGAGGGGGAGAGAGAGAGAGAGAAACATCGACGTGAAAGGGACACATCGAGTGGCTGCCACCCGCACAACCCAACCAGGGCCAGGGACAAACTGCAACCGAGGTACATGCCCTTAGCAGGAACCGAACCCGGGTCTCTTTGGACCACAGACCAATGCTCTAACCGCTGGCCAGGGCTCTCCTTTTTCTTTAATTGAGACTTTTATTTTATTTTGGGAGGGGTATTATTTTGTTTTGTTTGGGTGAGTTTCTTTTTTCTTCAATAATATCAACATTATTTTTAACTCTATAGTTCTCTTTATTAATGAAGATACAAATTAATAATAGAGAAATGATTAAGAACAAAGCTTACATCTATAAAATGAAATTTTAGAAAGCTGTTAAAAATGCAAAATTTCTCACATGTAATTTAAATGAAAAGGCAGTATAAAGTACACATACAGCATGCTCCCTATATGTAATAAATTATACCCCTCCCACACATACAGAAATATACATATGTATATACAGTATTTCAAATCCTGAAAGAATGTATATGAAAATTTACCTGTGATTGTATTAGGTTCACTACTTATAATTCTGTATTTTCCAAATTTTCTGCATTGACCATGTGTTATTTTACAATTTAAAAACAATTATTAAAATTAAAAAGATAAACGAATATATTAGAGGATGTAAACAGCCCAGTGATATCACGCCTCAGTGGGGGTCTGCCGTGACTACCTGTGCCATTCAGGAACCTGCATGAATAGGGCGTTCAGCTTGGCCCTGGATAGTAGGAGCCATGGGGCTTCCCCAGGGCGATGCAACGTGTAAGGAATCAGGGGCGCGGCTGAAAAACAGAGAAGAGACTGGAGAGCCAATCAGCCGAATGAACAGGGATCAGGCCTTATTGGGCACACTCCGGGCGGGCTCACAGACTCCGGGGTCAAGTCCTAGAAGCCGTGCCCGGTGCTTTTTTATATCTGCCTGTTGCAGCTGAGATTTGTCTGTTAGGGTTTGACCTTGTGGGGGGGGGGAGGGTATGCATGGGAGCCTCTGGAATGCAGCTGAGATTTGTCTGTTAGGGTTTGACCTTGCGGGGGGGGGGGGGGGGAGGGATGCATGGGAGCCTCTGGAATGCAGCTGAAATTTGTCTGTTAGGGTTTGACCTTGCGGGGGCTATGCATGGGAGCCTCTGGAATGTGAGTGGCTAAGAGCAGGAAGGAGTTAGTCTACAAGCCCGGGGCAGGCCTTTCTCAGAACAGGGTGGGAGGCTAGGCTGAGCAAGCGAGACAGTGGTCGAGCAGTTTGCCTGGTGCCAGTCCCCAGCTATCGGACACAACGCCTATAGGCCTGTTCTATAATCTAAGATATAAGTTCCAGTTACACAATTACCCAGAACTCAGGATGTAAAATAATGAATACGAATTTTTCCTAGCAGAGTTTTGTCCCCCCTGATCTATAACAAGTGAGACTGGCATAGCAATTTCTCTATCATGAGTCAAGTGATACTGAAATGTAACTTGGGGTGCCTATGTTTAGGTCACTGTAGACTATTAGTAAACCAACTCTTAAATGAAATAAAGTACAAAATAAATAATTTGACCAAATAATAGAGATTCAGAGATTCATGAAATATATATTTTTTTAAATCCTCACCCGAGGATATATTTTTCAATTTATCTTCAGATAAGAGTGGGAGGGAGAGAGAGAGAAACATTGATGTGGGAAAGACACATTGTTTGCCTCCCTCATGACCCCGACCAGGACGAGGGGAAGAACTGCAACCAAGGTACATGCCCTTGACCAGAATCGAACCCATGACTCTTTCGTCATGGGAAGACACTTAACTGCTGAGCCAAACCAGCCAGGGCTCATGGAATATTTCTTAATTGACTTTTTAGGGACAAATAGAGAAAAGGTCACAGAATGTCATTGGTCATAAGTTAAACATTTATTGTCATGGTTTTCAGAATCTAAAGCTATTAAGAATAATAAAAAGATGCCAAGCCGGTGAGGCTCAGTGGACTGAGCGCTGTCCCATGGACTGAGATCCTGGTTCGATTCCCAGTCAGGGCACATGCTTGGGTTGCGGCGTGGAGGAGGCAGCCGATTGATGTTTCTCTCTGTCATCGATGTTTCTATCTCTCTCTCTAAAAAGTCATATTTAAATTAAAACATATTAAAAAATAGTAATAATAAAAAGGAAAACCAAACAGAGAGGGTACTAGTTTTAGTTTAGACACAGAAGAGCCTGGTGTGAGTTTGAATTCTGCCACTGTGTATAATTGAGTGACGTAGGCGCATCTGATTTTTAAAGTGTAAAATTGAGATAATTCCACTACCTACTTTACAGAGTTTTCTGAAAATAAACCAAACAATTGTGTGTGAAAATATTTTGTAAAGTAAAAAAATAAAAAATTCACACACACCCCCCTAGTTTTTTTGTTGTTGTTCTGGCAACTTCTAATCCACTTTATTTGCAATTAAAATAACTACACATCTTTTTAAAGAGACAATGAGATTTTTACAGATTAAAACAGATATCCTGAGATATCCTAAGATATTGTAAAATTTTTTTCTTCTTTAAATCAAGACCATTCAAGATCCTTAAAGAGCAGAATCCACTCAAATTTAGCAACAGATTTCATTACCAACCTAAATGAGTAGCAAATCAAAAGCCAGATAAGACAGTAATACCCTGTATATCTGGGTACATTGCCTTGATATACCCTTTCAACACATAATTTGCATTTTAACAATAACTACAGTCATGAGTCTCTTTGAAAAATTGTTATGCGTAACCAAATAGTCAATTTATTATATTGCTCCAAGTCTTAGACTAAACCAACATGGTTTTCCTCCTCTAAATCAGAAGATTCTCAATGACCTAGGAAGAAATAATAGAACTACACTGGTCAGCCAAACGAAGTCTTAGTATTTTATCCTGATTTCTTACACACCAATGCAAGTACTAATTATTTAAACGTGCTACTCTCATAGAATTAGTAAGTCCACGAGCCCTAGAAAAAGAGATATCCTATTTATCCAACATCAAAATTAGTGCTTCACATGTCCTGGGGTGGGAGATGGACAGGAAATTGCAAATACAGAGCACACATAATTCATATAAAGTAAATAAAACAAAACACAAGTCCACTGACTCCATGTCAAGAAAATGTTCTACATTGGTCCTTCTTTTTATTGATTCTTTTTGAGGCAGAGAAGTCTCTTGAATGGTTGTTGGAATTTAGAATTACTCAAGATTATTATAACTGAATGACCAGAGGGATACACTGCCATTATGTCCTTCAGCAGAAAGTAGCACTGAGTTCCATGAGGAACAATGAATGTCAAGTTTCCTATGAAGGCGGCAAAATAAGAAATAAAGAAAAGAAAGAATGTTAGCACGGTTCTCAAGGCATTTATATGGGCTGCTGTGCTGGCCCTTTGAAAACCACAAGATCCATTTTGCATCCGATGCGTGTGTTTGCAGAGAGACATGAGTAACATAAAAGTGCACATCAAAAATACAGCTAGAGGAAATATGAGTGACAAGTTGACAAGGAGCACTTCATTAGTTTGCTTGGTCTTGAATTTAGACATTGTTGTACGCGTGGCATTCCCGAAGAAAATATCCTCCGCTACTTTAGGGTAATCTACCGCAATACACAGGACTGCAGTGCTCACCGAGGCCAGCAAGCTTCCCAGAAGCAGCCAAAGTATTACCTTCGAGATCCTGAATTTCAGAAAAAGAAAACAGGATTGGGTGGAGCTTATTAACTTCAGGCAGTAAAATGCAGAAAGGCAGGTGGCAAACCAGAGACTGGCAGAGCTAAAAAACATCCAGAGGAACACTATCACTGCACCATACAATTTTGCCAGATAAATGAGTGGAAAGAATACAGAGAAAAAACTTTGTATCATTAACATCACCTGAAGACCAAATCTAGACATCCCTATACATATTAAAATGAGTTGCATCGGTGTTAGCTTTCTGCTTTTGATCAATTTGTTACAGCTGATGATTATAAGAAATCCATTTACTGTAATCCCCATAACAAATTCTGCTGACATGATGATAACATGAGGAATGGCTGATAAAGAGGTGGTCATGTCTCCTACCACAAATCTTAGCTTTTCCTTGTGGATGGTGTTAAACACCTCCTCCAGATGATCTTGCAGATAGGAACACAGACTGAGAAATCTGCTGTTCTGCCAACTCCTGGGTCATGTGTAGAGTCTTACACTAGACTTTTCCCCTAAAGTAGAAAGAAAATCAGAGGGATGAATTTTGAACTTGATGCCCTTCACATGAAGCAGTAGAAATGCAAATTCAAACATTTGAATGATGGTTAGGTCTTCCAATGACACCCTAGGAAAAACTGCCACATTGGCATTATTCAGTTCTCACTTTTACTCTTTTTTTGTTGTTATTCAGATAGAGTGGGAGGGAGGGAGAGAGAGACGGGAGGGGGGGGGAGACATTGACGTAAAAGGGACACATCGAGTGGCTGCCTCCCACACAACCCCAACCAGGGTGGGGGACAAACCACAACCGAAGTACGTGCCCTTAGCGGGAACCGAACCCAGGTCTCTCTGGACGGCGGGCCAACGCTCTAACCGTGGAGCCAAATCGGCCAGGGCCTCACTCTTACTCTTATTCAGTTTTCACAATTACTCAATTTTGATAAGAAATATTTTACTTAGGTTACTATTGTTTCTGTTTTGCCTTAATTCTTATTTTGCCTTTTTTCTTATTATCTTATTTCTGTTGTTTTTTTTTTCCCTAATGGAAAATGCCACATCCTTGGGACAGACAACTATTTCCTATTATTGCCACAAGTATCCAAACTGAGTACACTTTTTTTTCCTGATAGTAATTCCAAGATACTTTAATAAAATTTCCCCATTCTCTCCCCTACCCCAAGCCCCACCAAAGACAATTGCTTCTCCACACTTGAAAATCATTTTCTGGGAACTAACTTTGTATGATAATTCTTCATTCCCCTAAGGGATCTTTAATATTTTTAAAGCTTTCTTGGTAGAATTCTGATCTGAGAATCAGCAAACCAGTGATGAAAGTAGTGCATAATTAATCCACCTGCCTACGTCATCTAAGACTGGATCTGGAGAGCATCATGTGGGAAGGTAGATGATGCAGAAACTTATAAGCACCAGCAGAGGGCATAATTACCTGTGTGTTAAAATGAGAAATGTTCACATAACCTTTCTGAACTTTTGTCACATCACAGGTAAGATGGAAATAAAGCATGACTACTTCACAACTAAGATACAGTGCTCAAAGTGCTTTAGCTCAGTGGCTTGGTCATGCTATGCACTCAACGAATGTTAACTATTAATATTACTAAATGTCTGTCTTCATACTGTGCTTACTCCAGCAAGAAAATAATAACTCTATTTATCAATATTTTCAACAGTTTAAATATTTTCAATAACAAATAAGATTGTAAGAGTATTGAAAATAGAAAAAAGCAAAGATCTAGACTTGCCACTCACTGTCTACCCCATTCATGGTTTTTAAAGCCTCCTCAGAGTCATCCATAAAATGCATATTCACCAGCCCATGAAAGCCAATGTCAGGGCTACATATGTGACATCCCCCTGCCAGCTTGTCACCCTCTCACTTATCTTCTACACGTAACAATATCCAACATGCAGCAAGATTTAGCCCATCTTTAGCTCTTCAAAGATGTTGTTTTTGAAACCTGCACATCAAGTTTGCCTTTGGCTTTTGAATTTGCAATCTTCCTTGTCTATAAAACATGACTTTGCCCAGTGAGTGGACCTTACCCCCATGGCCTCTAGGAAGCTATTCCCATTTTAGGAAAAGGTGAAGAAGTTTCAGCTCAGTTCCAAACTCTAAAGACCAGTGTCATGATCCTGAGGTGAGGGGAAAGAAAATGGGATTTGGACAGTCCACAGTTCAGTGTTCCAAGTTACTTCTCTGAGAATGATGGTATTTAAAAGGATATGATAACTGAGTTTTCAAATTCGGTTATTTGAACCAAAATCACTACAGATTCTGGTTCTTAGTTAAAAATAAATCTTCAATGATCATGTTTTATTTTCCAAAAATTCTGTTTTAATTAATATTATGTTATTATTGTGTTTCTCTGAATGAGCTTGTTAAATTAAAGATGCTTAAACAAATGATGGACAATACTTTGACATATACATAGCCATCCAGTGTGTGTGTGTGTGGTGTGTGTGTGTGTGTGTTTATAAATATATTTAAATTTTTAATTGGTTTTATAGAGAAGAATGGAGAGAGAGAGAGAGAGAGAGTTGTTGTTCTACTTATTTATGTATTCATAGGTTGCTTCTTGTGTGTGCCCTGACCGGGGATCAAACCAGCAATTTTATCATATCAGGATGATGCTCTAAGCAACTGAGATACCCAGCTAGGGCCTCCAGCCAGTTTATATTTACACGACGCATCATTAATTGTGTCATGTTAGACTAAAAATCTTGGAATGCATGCTGACCATTAGGATAATTTTTTTTTATTATGATAGATGTTCACTGCTTTTGCCTATACTGTGCAAAGGATATGTGAATATGTTCAAAATATGTATATCCTATTCCAGTATGGCAATATGGATTTTAATATTTCAAATATCTTTACCATGACAACCAGTATTTGGGGAGACAACAATCATATTACATTTTTTATCCTTCATTATTCTTTTTCTTTGGTCCCTTCACTCAATTTTTCCATAGTAAGCTAGGGCAATAAAAGATAGACCAATATATGAAAACTCTTTTTTTTTTAATCCTCACCTGAGGACATTTTTGCATTTATCTTCAGGTAGAACAGGAGGGAAAGAGGGAGGAAGAGAGAGAGAGAAACATCAATGTGAGAGAGACACATTGACTGGTCACCACCCATACGACCCCAACCGGGGCTGGGGACAAACTGCAACCGAGATACGTGCCCTTAGAGAGAACCAAACCCAGGACTCTCCGGTCTGCCGACCGACACTCTAACCACTAAGGCAAACCGGCCAGGGCTGAAAATACTTGATAGCCAAAAAAAAAATGGGCAAATGAATTATAATCAAGATTAAGTTCCCTGACAATTTTAGTTTATAAAAAGCAATTTCTTTTAAAAATTGAATATTTATAGCAGCTATCTCAGAATGCACATATGTTTATAATATGTAAAATCTTAAGAAAATATGAAACCACACAAACAAAACACTTTATAAAGTTATTTTGAATCTCATTGTTTAGATTAAAAATTAATTTGTTAACTGGAACCTATCCCCACTGAGTGTCCAAGTGCTTTAAAACGTTTTACTGAGTTAGTTTCAAACAACCTTGCATTTGTGACAGTCATACAGCTGCAGCTGGCTGCAGGGTCTGTGGATTATGTACTTCTACTCTGAGGTTTCAATTTATCCAGAACTGATTTCATTCTGAAATACTGCATTCCAGCTCTCATTTGCCTCATAAACACATCAGCTAATTGAAGAGAAAGCTTGAATTTTCCAAGAACTGTTTTAAAGATGTCATTGACGGTCAGCTACAATTTAGCTGGTTTGTATTTGCATTTGTGATTTTCCTGTCATATGTGGACTGTTTTGCATTTGCCCTTATTGAATCTCATTTGGGAAGGAGAATTTTAGTGAAGAGCTCTTTCTTAGATCTTGGAAAAGCTAATGGAGAGTGAGACAGTCTTGAAGTTAATAATTCACAGATTTGTTTAGAGATCTGTGAATGGCGTTGACCAAATAGAGAGATGATTTTCAAAATAAACAATCTCTGAAAGTTTTACTTAAAAAAATCAATTAAAAAAAGAAATAACAGTATCTACCAAGAGACATTGGATATTTAAAATTCATTGAGTAAATTTCAGTTTAGACATCTTCCAATCAATATATATTCTTCTAAATCAGTCGTTCTCAACCTTCCTAATGCTGCGACCCTTTAATACAGTTCCTCATGTTGTGGTGACCCCCAACCATAAAATTATTTTTGTTGCTACTTCATAACTGTAACTTTGCTATTGTTATGTCTTAGGTGACCCCTGTGAAAGGGTCATTTGACCCCCAAAGGTGTCACGATCCCACAGGTTGAAAATTGCTGTTCTAAATGCTCACATAAACCTTGAAAACAGGCATTTCTCCAATAAAGTTTTTTGTTTGTTTGCTTTGCTTTTGATTTGAATAGCATGGTAAGAGTCCACCTGATTCTAAGGTGATGTTCATACATTGCTTCACAAATTAAGATGAACTTTATTTTATTATTTTATTATTATTATTTTTTTATCCTCACCCGAGGACATTTTTGCATTCATCTTCAGATAGAGTGAGAGAGAGGGAGGAAGAGAGAAAGAAACATCGATGTGAGAGAGACACATCGACTGACTGCCACCCACATGACCCCAACTGGGGCCGGGGACAAACTGTAACAGAGGTACGTGCCCTTAGCGGAACCGAACCCAGATCTCTCTGGACCACAGGCCAATGCTTTAACCACTGAGCCAAACCAGCCAGGGCTCAGTTATAACCAGGTGTTTCCCATGCACAGAAATCAGCTCATTTAGTTCTCATTGGTTATAACTGTACAAATGTCTGAATTTTTAAAATAAGCACACTGAATTGCTACGACTTTCCCATGCTTTGGTGCTTTATGAATCACTAAAAGGATTGAAGCTTGCTTTCATTCTTTTAGGTGAAAGTATTTTTGCTTGCAATTTTCCCACTACCCTTGCTTCAGTATTACAGCTTTGCAGAGAGAATCAGCACTAAAGACTGAATTGATTATTGGGCCAAATAAATCCAATAGATTGGTTTATTTCTATGAAAAACCATCAAAATGGTTTTTGGCCTTCTGTAAAGAACTGACTCAAAATTTCATTTACGATGTGTCTTGTCATTATATGGTCATCAGAGTTATAAGGAGGAGTCTGTAGCTCTGTAAGATCCCTTTTCACACATGGGCAGCATTTGGGCGACTCTCTCCTTGCTGAGACCAGACTCTAATCACTGGAGAAACAATGTTTTAAAGTCCATGCAATCTATATGTCTTCATGTCTTTTTATGTTCAATGTAGTTCTTCTTTTATGTTGGGTAGATTTTAATATTTAAATAGGTTGTGAGGATTTTGAACTTGAAGACAATTTTTAAAATTTAGTCTTTGAGTTTCCTTCCCAAGTTTCTAGAATATTAAGTAACAGATGGGTGGCAGAGCATGCAAAGAGAGTGAGCATCAGGCTCCTAATCCTAGAGGTCAGACTATTCCCACATGTGTTATATTATATTCATGGGCCGTTGGCGGTGGGGGGGTGGGGAGGGATGAAGTAGACTCTAAATTCAAGTAATAAAAATTAAGGAAATTTGATAATCATGTTCAGATTTGACAATAATATATCAGTTAATTTGCCATAATATTAGCAAGTATTTATTTTAAAATACATTTTAAGCATTGTTCTACATACTTACTATCGTTTAATACTTAATGAAAAATAATGGAATTATCTCATTTGATGAACACAATGAAGTTCAAACAATGAAGCTTCAGAATAGCATAAATAAGGACACAAGGATTGGTTGAATACAGTCTGACCCTGTCGGGAACCCATGTTGTTGACCAAAACACGATGGTATATTCAGATTGTAATACTTTGCTTCATCAAAATTGTTAGAGAGCACATGTAAAATCAACCGGATAATCACATTTTAATAACCATGATCTTTTATTTTCCTATAGACATTAATGGGGAAAAATGGAATATAATCCATTTGTTCAGGAGTACATCAGTGAAGTGATAAAGCCATGGAGACCCTGGATCCTTAGCACATTTGTCTGCAACACAAATCATGGAACCGAGGCGGCAAATGAAACTTAGTAGTAAGTACTCAATAAGTATTGTTATTGACCTTTCTGTGGAAAATGAGACATGACTCAGTTCACTGGAAAGTTATAGAACTGTCAGGATTCATAAAAACCTTATTGGTCAAAGAAAGGAATCAGATTCCACGTCCATCATCCCAATTTTATAGAGAAAGATTTTTTGGCATCCTAAAGATTAAGTAGTTTGTCAAGGTTTAAATGAATAAAAACTGGTAGAACTTATGAAGGTCATTTCAGTTTTCTGAGCTTACATTTCTTCATAGACAAAACAAGTTTATAAGGGAAAATATGAATATTTAAAATTTTGATTTTGTAACGCTTTTAAACTTACTTTCTGCCAAAACCATGAAGCAGTTGAGCTGTCTTTGAATGAGTCATGTCCCATCATTTTATGATTCATTAGTTAATGTATTGGGTTAAAGTCCTGACTAAGAACCAATTCTTCTCAATTCCCCACTCCAGCTGATGTCATAATATGTATAATAATTCTACTTTGAAGTTCTTCCTATGTGAAAAAAAATTTTTTTTTTGTTCTCACCTGAGGACATTCTTTCATTTATCCACAGATAGAGAGGGAGAAACATCTATGTGAGAGAGATACATCAATTGGTTGCCCAACGAGGGCCGGAGACCGAACCGAGGTACGCGTGCCCTTGACCAGAATCAAACCCATGAATCTTTGGTCCGAGGGCCGACGTGCTACCTGCTGAGCAAAACCAGCCAGGGCCTATGTGAAAATTTTAATTTGTATCTCAGACAATCAGTGAAGGAGGGAGTAGAGAAGAGCTCAGTTTCTCAAAGAGACTTTAATTAAGGACTTCATTATCTCCTTGCCACATCACTAAATTTCAACTTCCATTAATCCATGGACAGTTTAGACAAGCAGGAAATTAAAGATGTGATACTTTTGAAAGTTGCATAAAGATGCAAAATGTTAATCAGTTGCTATGAAATGCCTACATATGACAATGTGTATCTAAGATAATAGAAGAGAGACAAATTTGGGGGAAGAATATTTTAATTCTTTCACTGCATTGAGTAAGTATTAAACAATGTAACAGAGCACACAAAAGAAGAAAGGCTTAGTCCAAAAGTCAGAGAGAAGTATTTAGAATGACATACCAACAAACGTGAAACATACATTCTGTTATACCTCAGCACTGAAAGGGACTGTAGCATTCCTTAGCAATAGGCATATAATCAGAAAAAGTAGCTGACAGCGGAAAATAAAGTAATAGCATGAATGTACTCCTCCAATTGAGACTTTATAAAATAATTTTTAAGATAATAAATAAATGGGGTATAATTACATGATATAGTCTTGACCAAAATACAGAGTAAAAAAAAGGTCATTTAACTTTTTAAAAATGTCTAGTATTTGTAGAAGTAAGAGATATCTCTATTGTTGAGACAGAAAACTGTAGCCTTAGTTACGTATTCAGAACTGTACCTGAGGACTTCTGGTCAAGGTGGCTACGTGGGTAAAAGTGGTATCGCGTCCTCCCACAACCACATCAAAGTTACAACTAAACTACAGAACAACCATCATTCAGAACCGCCTGAAATCCAGCTGAATGGAAGTCCTACAGCTACGGAATTAAAGCAGCAGCCACACGAGACTGGTAGGAGGGCGGAGGGGACGGGCTGGGCCCACACCCACGTGTGGCGGATAAAAATCAGGAGGACACCTCGGCTGGGAAGGTCCTCCCTGAGGACTGAGGGGTCCCCGTCCCACACCAGGTGCCCCGCTCAGGGTTCCAGTGCCAGGAAGAGAATCCCCATCACTTCTGGCTGGAAAACCAGCGGGAACTGAGGCTCAGGGAGGCTGAGGCGGCTGGAGCCCCAGGCAGCTCCTTAAAGGGCCCGCGCACAGACTTACTCAGACTCGCACCCTCCAGGCTCCAGCATGGGGGAGGCAGCTTGAAAGACACCAGAGACATACAGAGAAGAACTGAGTTGTTTGGCATTGGGGTGAGGGCTGGAGAGGCAGCTTTTTCCAAGATAGACGTGCTGTCAGAGGCCTTTGTTCCTTTGGTGAGCCCTTCCCCCATGAGGCTGGCAGACAGCCGCCATATCTGGGTCTCCAGCAACCTGGCTCACACTCTTTGCCCCGCCCTGGTGACTCCCTGAGGCCCTGCCCCACCTAACTTTCAGGCTCACCCAACCTGTTCCCAGTTGCTTTACCATAGGATTGGCCTGTCTTGGATCCAGCTTCAGATTTTCCTAAATTCTTTCAAACAAGCAGCATACCTCTCATTAAGTGGCCCCAGGCGTGGCACTAGAAGCAGCCAGCCTTGGTTCACAATTTGGCTTTGCCTGGGCACCTCCACGCCCAGAACATGAAGCAGCCATCTGCAGAATGCTTTGTAACTTATGCCTGGTGGCCCCGGGTAGAACACAGGCAGTAGATGACCTGGCCCCAGAGCCAGCACACCCAGTGGACAGCTTCAGAAAACTGTGAAGCACCACCACCCAACCACCTCCACAAATAACACACTCAAGGAATGGACTCAGTGGGTACCAGAGCCCTGCTGAAGTAAGTCTTGCTCTGTGTGGTGGGCCCCTGCACAGCCGATCATCCAAGGTAGTCAGAGGCCAGTGGTCAGTGGGCAGAGCCAGTCCTTGCAGCTGATCAGCCTGAGTAAAACCCTCTCATTGATGTGCCAACAGCAATCAAGACTCAATTACAACAGAAGGATGTAAAGTCCGCACAAGGGGTGCACCTCGAGGGCCCAACTAGGAGACCAGGGAGGCTGTGCCACTGAACCCTACAGGACACCCACTACAATAGGCCACCCAAGAAGCCCAGGAGACACAGCAGCTCTACCTAATACATAGAAACAAACACAGGAAGGCAGTCAAAATGAGGAGACAAAGAAACAGGTTCTAAATGAAAGAAAAGAACACAACTCCAGGAAAACAATCAAACAAAATGGAGATAAGCAACCTAACAGATGCAGAGTTCAAAATACTGCTTATAAGGATGCTCAATAAACTTAGTGAGAACCTCAGTGAACTTAGTGAGGGCCTCAAGAGTATAAAAAAGGAGTAGTCAGAAATGAAGGAGGGACTAACTGAAATAAAGAATAATTTTCACAGATTCAATAGTAGAGTAGGTAAATCCAAAAAGCAAATCATCGATTTGGAATATAAGGACACAAAAAACACCCAATCAGAACAGCAAAAAGAAAAAAGAATTAAAAAAAAAAAAAATGAGGATAGTATAAGGAGCCTCTGGGATAACTTCACGCATACCAACTTCGCATCTTGGGGGTGCCAGAAGGAGAAGAGAGAGAACAAGAAATTGAAAACCTGTTTGAAACAATAATGACAGAAAACTTCCCTAACTTGGTGAAGGAAACAGACATGCAAGTCCAGGAAGCACAGAGAGTCCCAAACAAGATGAACCCCAAGAGGCCCACACCAAGACACATCATCATCAAAATGCAAAAGGTTCAAGACAAAGAGAATCTTAAAAGCAGCAAGAGAAAAGCGGTTAGTTACCTACAAGGGAGTTCCCATAAGACTATCAGCTGATTTCTCAAAAGAAACTTTGCAGGCCAGAAGTCAGTGGCAAGAAATATTCAGAGTGATGAAAAGCAAGAACCTACATCCAAGATTACTCTATCCTGCAAAGCTATCATTTAAAATCAATGACCATATAGTTTCCCAGACAAGAAAAAGCTAAAGGAGTTAATCACCACCAAACCATTATTATATAAAATGTTGAACAAAAAGAAGATAAAAAATATGAACAAACAAAATGACAATAAATACATATCTATTGATAATTGAATCTACAAACAAAATGAACAAGCAAAAAAGAAACATTCTCATAGATACAGAGAACATTTTGTTGGCTGCCAGATGGAAGGGGTTGGGGGAATGGGTGAAAAAGGTGAAGGGATTAAGAAGTACAAATTGATTGTTAGACTGACAAACCTCAAAGGGAAGGGGGGGGGGGCGAGGGAAGAAATAAACCAAAGAACTTATATGCATAACCAGTGGACACAGACAATAGTGTGGGGAAAGGCAGGAGGGGGCTGGCAGTGGGGAGGAGGGGGTCAATAGGGGAAAAATGAGGAACATCTGTAATACATTCAACAATAGAGATAAGTGGGGTGGGGGGGGGGAAGAATACTGTAGCCTTGCTATGTTAGGTAACTTATCTAAATTTAACCAGACAATCTACAACCAAAGTAGAAATAAGTTTTGAAATCCCATATACACAAATTGATACTTTTTAGGTCACCAAGTCAGTCTCTCCATAGTTGATCTATTTAATATGCTGAATTATAAAACAAATACAATTCCAAATCATGGTTCAAATTACACATAATAAAAAAAAATAAGAGCCCTGGCCGGTTTGGCTCAGCGGTTAGAGCGTCAGCCTGCGGTCCTGAGAGACCTGGGGTCGGTTCCCGCTAAGGGCGCGTACCTCGGTTGCAGTTTGTCCCCGGCCCTGGTCGGTCGTGCGGGTGGCAGCCACTCGATGTGTTCCTTTCACATCGATGTTTCTCTCTCTCTCTCTGTTCCTCTCCCCCCCTCCCCACTCTACCTGAACAAAAAATGGAAAAATGTCCTCGGGTGAGGATAAAAAAATAAATAAAAAATAAAAAAAATAAGAAAGGCTTGTATTATTTAGCCCATTTGGAAGACCAAATTGTTTAAATAAATTTGAAAAAAACGTACAATGTTTAGATATTTGACAGCGATCTGTCCCTTCTTAGTGTGTTTATTTTAATATCCATTTTTTTCAATATTCATTCTTTATATGAGGTGACCATACTCCAATGGAAGACCCTTTATAGTTCTAGTAGTGCTCTGGACTCAATGTGAAAAGAGAGCAATGTCATGAAGAATGATATATTTGTACTATTTTCCTGATCTGTTCAAAGATAAACTCTTCAAAGGAAGGACTTGTAGCTCTGAGAGACCAATCAGCATTGACACTCCAACACCATTCATCTCCTTAGCTGTGGGATGGTAGTCTGGGC